AGTAAATACAGTATGATTAAAAACGATATTGAAAATAATGAATATAAAACTATGGAACAGATAAATTGAATTATTCAAATTTGTTTTATTTAGTATCAGAAAAAGCGGCATTTGATGAGGATAAAAGAGGATTTTGCTAATAATATTATGCATAATCGGTAAAGATAGCGTAGTTATCTTGCTTGATGACATGTCAAAACATTGATCCCTTATTGTTGTTGCATTTTCGGGACAGATTGTGATCCATTTTTTTTGTTAAGCTCAAGTCCAGCGGGTTTCCTTGACTTGCGCACCCCCTGGAGTGTATCATAGCTCTTCAATCTGCGCAAATTCAAAAATAGATGCAAAATAAAAAGCCTGCGCTAGTAATAGTCATTTTGAATAATATGACGCATTAATTAGCGGTCATGCAAAGTTCACATTTATTACGAACGTTACGATAGCAAATTTTAGAAAAGGTATGAAGAAAAAATACTATCTGCTAAGTAAAAGGCTTATCTCTAGTTTAAAGCTAGCCTAATTAAAAGAAATTCAATTTTATTATACAGCTTTAATAATTTGCAAATATAAATGTTACAATTATTACTAATTAGTTGTTATTTCATAGCCATATTATTATCACTTATGCTTTTCACTAAGAATTCTAGATTGACTCTGCAAACAAATATTGTTTCAAAAAATTATTTTGGTGCCAAATTTAAAAAATATTCAATAAAAGCATTATATTAGTGTTAGTTTGATTTTTTTTTTGTCATTACAATTGCATATTTTGTCAATTCTTGCGAATAATTTTAGTGAATTTTTTATATTTTTGCAAAACTTTATGCCATCAATGAGTACAATTATTACTGCAGCAAACTCACTTCTTATAAAATTATACAAAAGTGTCTAATTCATTTGTATTCTATAAAGAATAATAATTCCCTTTAGAAAATGAAAACTTTTTAAATTTAAATTTGTACAATTTTTGAATATTTACATAATTTATTAGCAAAGAAAAAGCAATAACAAATTGTTGCTAAAAATTTAGCAAAATAATTTTTACAAATTTAAATTTAAAAAGTTTTCATTCTTCAAAGTGAATTATTATTCTTCGTAAAATGCAAATGTTTGACTGAAGAAAATTTACGTTTTTTATCCTTTGAAAAGTGGAAATAATAACAACATATGTATTTTTGCATATGCTAATGGCATTTATTTGAAAATTAAAATTTAGGCAATTTGCGAATTACTTAATTGTGATTGCTTGACAGATTCACTCAAATAGTAATCAATAAAGCCTTTTATTAGAAAAACAAAAAGTATTTATTTAATGAAAGCAAAAAATAATTTAAGAACAATTTTTATGAGACAGTTGCACACATTTTTATTCTTTCAACTGAACTTGAAAACTTTCTTGCAATAATTGAATAATTTTTGATTATTTTTAATCAATATTTGTTCGCTCTTGCGTTTTCTTGTCTACATTAGCTGGATGACTACTGATTCAACAAAGTTTCTCAGAACTTATTTGCAAGGCAAAAATTTTATGACTTTAGATTTAGTAATTAACGCCAAAGTAAGAAAAAGTCTAAAGTCAAGTTTGTAAGAGCTAATTTAATTAGCACTTTCAGTATTATTATTCAGCATATATTGTTGAGATCTTATTTATCTCTAAGTAATCAGTACAAATAATTATAATTTAGTACTGTTTATTAATTTGATTTAAAAAAAATAGTCCTAGCTTTAAGATTATTTGAAATTTTTTTTTGCATGTGCATAATTTAAGTTCATAATGATGTACAGAAGTTTTATACTTTTCATTATTTGTAATATATGAATGTGTAATGTTTCGAATATAAATTCACTTATATAAGTGTATTACATTTATTATTATTATTATTTATAGAGAATTTGTGTATTAAATTTTTACAATTTTTAAAAATTATTTATCATGTACAAAATATTAGTGTATGATAATATTTTCTATAAATAATATAAAATTATTTCTTCATATTATTTCATATATTTCTTAAATTTTCAAAAATTAAGATAATAAAATAATAATATAGAGAATGATATTCGAGTTTGCGTCTTTTCATGCAAACACACGCACGCATGGATACTCACACGCACGCAAGCATCCAACTAAGTTAACTCTTACAAATTTATATTTTTTTACAATAAAATATTATTGCAAAAAGAAAAATACGAACTTTGATTTTTTACAATAAAGTAAAAATATAATAATAATTTGAACTCGTAATTAGCAGCAATATTTGCTATTAAATTAAAACGCAGCTGCAACAGCTTTTTGCTCATTGTTGACCAATTGCGCAACTTTGAATACATCTTCATTACCGTGCAGTTAAACGTTCTTGATTCTGAACTACTGCTCTAGCACCCATTTAAAGAACAAAAACATCTGTTCTCATATTAAGTAAAGATTTGACCCATAACTAACCTTTTATTATTATTATCTCTTACAATAAGCAGTTTTGCTCAAATGATGCAAACTAAACCTGACAGCTTGTTCAAAGCATTGTAAAATTAAGTAATTAAAGAGTGACCAATTGATAAAAATATTCAACTTTTTTGGATCAATAATAATACACTATTAATAATACAATAAAATAGAATACTTCAATTATCTGCTAATAATACTTTTCAAAATGATTAAGATGAAATATTTTCCATACTTTCTATATCACACACATTTAAAAATATCCTTGCATTATCAATTTTAAAAAAATTTGAATTAATGTACTATTTCTGTCATATGAATTTTTCAACAAACTGTCAGTCTATAAGGTATTACCATCATTTTTTTAAATTTACACTCAATTAAATTCTGTGCATACTCATAATTTTATGATCAAAATCGATTCATAATTTCATGATCAAAATCGATTCATAATTTTATGATCAAAATCGATTCATAATTTTATGATTACAAACAAGCGCGTTGAGATATAAACAGAAGTATTGTTTATTTAAAAAAATTGCGTGCAAAAACTTGTTCTCTAAATTAATTTGCACTGTTGTAGAGAATGTATACTTTTCTGCGCAATCCACACTTTCCATCGATTATCGTATCAAATATTCCTTATTTACTTCTAAAAATCATTAAAAATTTAAGTTTTTGATTTACTGAAAACAAATCTTATATTTCAGTCTATAAGTCAAGTCAGAAATTAACAGAGATGACATTTTCTAAGAGTAATTTCTTAGAGTCAGAAATAAGAAAAAACTGTGTGTGTATTCAAAGCTCTAACATATTTATTTCAATGGAGTGGGAAGCCAGAAATTCTTTATGCTAATTCTGATCTAATTTTGATGACTAATTTTGAATTGCCTTCAAAAGTATGCAAATTATTGTTAATGAGTAAAGTTTTGTAAGATAAAAGCACATATTTACAAGAATTATTGAGATCAAATCAATTTTTAGGTCATATTTCCATTTTTGATCACTTTTTCAATAGGTATACAAAAATTGTTTCGATGAGGTCAATATAATATGAATGAATTGTAATTCACTGTAGTGTCTGAAGACATAACTTTTTGAGTTTTTTCAGTTCAATAAAAAGCATAGCGAAAAAAAGTTTAATTACTTGTCTAAGAATTAAATTGTAAATCAATTTAAAATCGAAAAAGTACAGTATGACATTACTTACTAGTTATGAATTTAGAACTCGAATATTAATGAATTTAATTGGAGGTAATTCATTCTAATTTTGATGAATTTAGGGCGCCTGTTGACTTCGTTAACAACCAAACAGATAGATATCGTTACAATTTGAACTCTTCTAAGAGTATTCGTGTTGTTAATCATTCTTGTTGCTTAAACTTTTTTCATTCTCAGTATTACTGATAGCTAATCAATTGTTTATTGTTAATTACATGATAAAAAATAATCATATTTTTTGTAAAATTACAAATATAAAATAAATATTGAAAAACAAATAAATATTGTCAAACATGCTTTTGGCAAACACTCTTTGCTTTTGCTTTCAATCATTACTCTTTGATTGCTTCTTGCATATTTTATTTAATAATTTTGTCAACAATTTTTGATTTCAATGAACTAATTATAAAGTCAAAAATTAATTAAAATTAAATTATACATTTTAATTTTCTTCAGAAAATGAATCATAGACTATGATCAATTTTTATTACCAAAAAGAGTTATCGTATTGAATTGTTTGTACAATAATTCACAAGAATAAATATGTATTAGATGGCCACGCAAATGTACGCCGTGAAAATGAAAAAAGTTCTCTTAAATCTTTTTGCATTACTTTTCAAATTTAGTCGACTTTGTATCATAAAGTGTTAACAAAAATAGAAATTACAAAGATATGCAATAAATAATTGTAAATATTTTTATCATTTCAATAAATAGTAAAACCAAAACTATTATTTATTTACTCAATATAAGTATACTACTTCTTTTCTCCTTCTAGCAATACTCTCTGCCTAATTTTATGGCTATTTTACAGTCTTCGAAATACTTTTTCAAATTTTTCTGCTAGAAATAGTTTCAATTCTTGTATTTTAAAAAGTAATAAATAGTCAAAATGTTACTTTCAAAAACTGTTTCGCTGTCTGCTCAACAAATCATCTTACTTAACGTCTGCACACAATTATTGCTCATCACTTTTTCTTCAGTACATTGTAATTCTTCTTAGATCTGCTCCATTCACTCAATATGACTTTGCCATTTTCACTTCAACTTCCACCAAACTACCATTAAAAATTTTTATTCCATTAAAAGTTTTTGGCAATTTTCACTAATATTATTTATCGCTGTATATTTTTTGAAATTATTTAAGCTATTAAGCCAAAGAAAAAATTATTGACAAAACTTTCAGAATTTTTTCAACAACAAAACTTGTCTGAAATTTTATGAGAAATCCTCCTTATTCCCAACTTCATGATTAAACGTACAAATTTCAGATGCAAACAAATCTTACATATTTATTTGAACTTAATGTATCATTATATTTCAGCAAATTGACGTAATGCTATTGCTAACACTTACTTTACTGTATGCCTCATTATGGAACTCTGCGCAATCACTGGAATGTTATACAGGATTTTCAGTTATTCGTGGCCAAACAGTTGGTACTACAAAAGAAGTTTGTAGCAAGGAAACTGATTCTTGCTATCGAGCCAAGGCTGGGGTCAATGTATTAAGTACCATTAAAAAAGCAGGCTGCTCTACTGTCCGATGCTTTGTAAGTTATCATTTTAGCGTGGAATATTTAGTAACCTTAAAATTAACAACCGATTTTATCGATTTGAACTAAATAAAAACTTGACTGATAAAATGTACATAAATAAGAGTTAAGTAATACATGTGCTAGATAAAATTGAAACTAAAACTACTCTCACAAATTTCTTATCGATAAGTTTTAATGCTTGCATGATTTGTACAATGAAATGCAAATGATAACATCTGACTTCATAGAATTTTTTGTAACAGTTTATTGAATAAATAATAACATGCATAAGAGAAGGATTTCTTATTCAGCAATAATTAAATAAAAAATATTTTTGAAAATGTTGTTTCTTATCCATTCAACATTGCCTTACTACATATGCTTAACGAATGAGAAGTATTTATTATATGAAAATAATAGCAATTCACGTTCATAATTAGTACATGCAATATCTAAATATTAATTAAAGTCTCTTCAAACTTTTCAATTTATTAATTTTCCAGCTAAATAAGAATAAATGTTTCGAACAAGAAATGCTTGGTAGCAAAGTGATATTTTGTTGTTGCAATGATCGGGACCTGTGTAATACTGCTTCCTCTTTTGCCATGCGATTAACGACGATTGTTACTGTTATTCACATGTTTTTTTGTTTATCACACTTGATATTATAGTTACTGTAAGAAGTCACAGTTGTTTAACACCTAAAACATCGTCTATATTTGAAGAAAGTTAAGAACTAGTTACTTTGTAGATACTATTGCTTCTAATGAGGGATTATGATCAATAATTCTCAAAAACTGCCTAAAAACTAAATGGTAACTGCAATAATACAATAATTCTGAATCTTGCCTCAAGTCTCATGTAGTTAATAGAAAATTGAATAAGTATGGTTCATAAGCACACTACAGGGTTCCCAGTTATATTGTGTTAATCATTCCAGAGTACTTCATACAAACATTAAGCTGCAGACCATTAATACTGAAATAAGAAAGAACATTTTTGAATAAAATGGTAGATAGGCTATAATGACAGTAGTTTTCGATTTCCATGTTTAAATTCGAACCTCTTATATTTACACATTTCTGTTACCATTCATATTCATATTGTAGAATTTTCAAGAAATAAAGAATCGATAACAATTTTTAGAAATTTCTTACATAGAAGTGCTAGAAATAAGTTTATCACAAAGTCTTCTTCCCTTTTTTTGTAGACAGAGTAATTCTTACTAAAACAGTGTTCGCTCATTTGATATCTTTCAGTACGATATGTTGTGAATAAAAATTTTCAACGCTCACAACAAAGCTATCGGCAAATTCCATTTTCAGATTCACTTCTAGCAATCAGTAATGCATTTCTGAAATATAAATTTAGATTTATAATATACTTTTATTATTCTATGTATATTGAAAAACATTATGAATTATCACTAAGCTTGACTTCACTAGACAAATAATTTAATGAAATAAAAACAACGATGTTACATTTTTCTCATGCTTGCTTGACAAAATCAGCTTGCGTCAAATTATCAAGTCAGTACAACACCATTTTCTGTTGACTTTTATGAATTGTTAATTTGCTGGAATTATTTGTCGATTAGCGTCCTTATGGCTAAGAATTTGAGCATTCTGAAACTTAATCTCAGTTTTTCAAACCCTTTTTGAATTGCACTTTCATACACATAAAAATTTTTCAATAACTTTGCATAAAAAGAGCAAAATTAAGAAAAAAAAAAAAAAAACTAGCCGTACTTTTTGTTCGCAACATTCAGCCTTCTGAAGAAAAGACAAACATCACTAGATAATGTGTACCGGCTTCTGAAAATAAAGAAATCAGAATATGTCAAAACAGTTTTGCTTCCTTGTAATTATGAGTCAATTTCTTCGTGCAAGACTGAACTCAGTGCCGTTTGTAAAACCGAAGTCAAAGTGAAAACGTTTGTTCATTTACACAATTTTCTTTCGCAACCTTGTCAGATACGATTTAATATCGTATTTTTCTAATAAAGAATGCTAAAAGAATCTGGTAAAAGACACATAATACCATACAATAGCACCGGATAGTTGTGCTTGAAATTATGAGACTATCAAAAATTTAAATACAAATTATTAAAAAAATAAACTATTCTGTGCAATCGCAATGGAAGAAAACGGTTGCTCGAGAGAATCAGATGAAAGTCTAGGCCAGCGTGTAGTTTATATCGTTGGTTCTTTTTTTTCCTTTCAGTATTCTGCATTTTTTTAAGCCCAAACTAGAATACTTTTGAATGTAATGAAACGATTCAAACATTTACCCAAATATTACTTCTATTGATAATAATAACAACAATTGCCATTAATATTATTAGTTTATTATTAAAGTATTTTTTCTCTCTTTAATTTGTCATCGCTTTAGACTACCATTTTCATTACCATATAATAAATTTGAAGACACCAAAATCAAACTTAAATTGAATAACCTTAATAGATCAACGTGTTGCTTAAAATGTAACAAATCAACAGGTGCATCCTAATATGAAAGTAACACGAGATACGATTGTAAACGGTAGAACTATTGAGACGAGATATGCCGGTATGTTGCAACGAATAACACTGAAATAAAGCTAATGCTTTTTTTAAAAGTTAGACAAGTTTGAATCAGCAAACCTCAATTACCTCTTCTCAACTCTAATCCCATCCGCTTTACTTGCAAAAATGTAAAGAGTGAAACCAATTAGACAGCTTAAATATAAATATTCAATTTCACAGGGGAATATATGTATTTGTCGAGTGAGGGGCGAGCTGAATTTGTAAATTATACCCCAAGCAAGCAAGACAGCGATTACATCACTTATCCAGTGCACGCTTATCAAAGTTAGCACCAATTTATTCAAAGTGTTCTGCTAAATTTACTTCATTAAATTTATGCAAAAACTATGCGAAAAACAAAAAGAAAGAACAATTTGAATGCATATAAATTTTTAAGTAAAAAAGTTAAATGTGCAAGTGATTCTGAATAATCTCATAAACACAATACAATCCTTTCCGTGCAATCTTTTATTTTTGTAAACTTACAATAATTATACGTTTTATTTTTTTATTTCTTGCAAAATCAATAAATTTAAGAGAAATTTTAAAATTACACAAAATAAAATATAATCAAAATTATGCAATAAAAGTGTTCATAATTTATTATTTAAGCTTAGTTAGATAAAAATAAAAATTATGAATTACTGTTTTGCTAATTATACAATTTCTTGTCCAGTTGCTTTAAAATAATACTTCAAGATGAAATGATTACAGCACACACTCCCAAGTCTTACCATGGAGACGACTGCCTTAAAAAACGATGGCACGAAATAACACAAAAACTTACTTCGCTCATTGCAAATAATGAAGACAGTGAGAACGCAGAGCATGCCAAGGACGAAAAGTGATATGCAATACTGAATGATACTTATGACTTGTTTCTAATTACGTAAAATTTACAAAATAGATTTCATTAATATGCCATACTTACAAATTGTCAATAAGTATTTATTTGTCAGCAATAAATATCTAAGCAATCACTTAACAAGCACAAATACGTCAATAATAAATTTAATAAGTAAATTTTTAATTTATTTTGAGCTGCAATAGAAAGTTTTACTTTTGAAATGATAAGTACGGTAATATAATAAGTGGAAGAAAGACTAGAATGTTCGATGAGTAGTTTTCATAGGTGTGGTCTGGTTGTGTGGTTGTGTTATTCGGTTATGGGGACAACTTTATCTGGGAATATCTAGTTTTAAGTTATTTTAGCCTTACCTGAATATTTTTCTTGTACTTATTTGGAAAATTTGCTTGAAAAAATCGGAGTTACGTATAAGATTATCGTGCGCATATTTATTCTTTTTGGCATATTTAACCGTAATTTCATATAACCAATAAATATTTGCTTTGTGGTATTTGAAATTCAGAGATCGTTTCATGTTTTATAACTTTTTACTCCAATTTATGATTATCTTTAATTCTAAGTGTACACATAGTGTTCTGTAAGTGATTGACTTTCATTTATGTCTTCTGTGGTCAGGAGCTATGTTACTGTACTCTTGTGTATTATTTGTTCAAATCAGCATTTGCAGGAGAAATATTTTCAAAATTGTTTTGAGTAATTTATTTGTTAGAAGAATCAATAAAGAATCAAATAAACAATGTTTTTTCATCGAATGAATGGTGCTGCACGTTCACACGGTCCAGTGGATACTACACTGTATGATATTTTAAAAGTAAAGCCAACTGCTACCGAAGAAGAAATTAAAAAGGTTTATTTTCTCATTCATTTTCTGTCTAGAATCGCAATTTTATTTACAGAACATCTATCATTTTACTACTTGTAAGGAAGTATATTAGTTATGTGCAAGTTCATTATTGAATTGGTGATGGAAGTTTTTGAGCTTTACATTCATTTTCATTAACTTTCAGTCATATCGTCATTTGGCAAAAGAGTATCATCCCGATAAGAATCCTGCCCATGGGGAGAGATTTAAAGAAATATCGTTCGCATATGAAGTGCTAAGTAATCCAGATCGGCGAGTTGTTTATGATTCCCGAGGTCTTGATGGTGTCAAAGAAGGTAATAATTGTTCACGATTACGATACAGACTAATATAATTTTCTCTGTCTCTGTTTCTAGTAAAATATTTATAAGTTGTTATAGGAGGAGCCAATACTGAAGATATATTGTCATCGCTATTTGGTGGTAGTCCGCTTTCATCATTTTTTGCTAGCACTGGAGGAGGAAGGCGAAGAAAAATGCGGGGTCAAGATATGGCTCACCATTTAAAAATATCACTGGAAGATCTTTACAATGGGAAAAAATCCAAATTACAACTGTCTAAACGTGTTATTTGTAATTCTTGTCATGGGTAAGCAAAAATCTTCCATAAAAGCACAAATAATGTCCTCAATATTTTTCATATAAAATTCTCTTCATTTCAAAGTCTAAAAAGTGCGTCAAGTACAAATTAGTGGAGGTAATGTATTGACGCAAGAATAACAAATGATTTTCACAATATCTGTGCATATAGTATCCCAGTAGTAATGACAAAATGAATTAGCAGTTTGTTGAAGGCCATTCGTTTTCTTGAGAATTAGGTGTAATTCTACTTATATGCTTTCTTGATATTTTAACTAATTGTCTTAAAGCACAAATATATCGTAGTCTACTGATACGGTTTTCATACTACTCTCTCTCTGTACAGTTATCAGTTTTGTTTTGTATCTGTCAAGTGAATATTAAGTGGACTAGTTTTCGGCTTCACATCAATTAAAACATGTTGAGTAAAAGGCCGTTATAGATGACGTCACGATTTTATTAGACGTTTAGTTATGAAGCTGCTGCACCAATCGATTACGAAAACAAGATGACATTATGCGGTGCTAAGTGTTTAAGTGTAGAACCAGCATCTGTGATATCAGAAATAAAAAGCACTGAGTTGTATCTATTATAAATGACTAAATTAAGTTAGGAAACGATTGTTATATTAAATTTCAAGTTTATCAAATCCGGTAAAGATAGAAAAGATATATGCTTAGCATTTTGTGAGCACAATTCAAGAGGTTTTTTTGATTCACTTTTATATTTATCTTAACGTGATTATAGCCGTGGTGGAAAAGAAGGTGTATCTTACGATTGTCCTGATTGTCATGGAATTGGGACTAAGAACGTGATAAGAAAACTTGGCTCCGGCTTGATTCAGCAAATGCAGATGGAGTGTTCAGATTGCAACGGAACAGGTAAGGTGCAAAAAGAAATATATTTTCAACTGTTTTGGTTAATTTTCTTTTAATTGCATCAGGTAATGGTAGATTGCATCATGATTCAAATTTCGTTATTGATGTAGAAGGTTTTCTAGTTTTGGATGTTTGCAAATATTTGATTTGTTAAAGGATCAAGTTTTAAATTTCAACGGAAATAGGTTGAAGTTATCATTCTGTCTATTATTTTCTTTCTAGGTTCAAAAATACCAGAAAAAGATCGTTGTAAGAACTGTAGAGGCGAAAGAACTGTGAGCGAAAAAAAAATGCTGGAAGTTACTATTCAAAAAGGAATGCGTGATGGGCAAAAGATTTGTTTTAGAGGAGAAGGCGATCAGGAAGTCCAGAGTTTCACATTTTGAAAACAAACCATTTAATTACACAGTCTTTAAGTCAAAAAAGAATTTTGTTTATGAAGCTTACAAGATTTTTTCAGCCGGGAATTGAACCAGGTGATGTCATAATCGTCTTGCAGTCTAAACCGCATGATGTTTTTCAAAGGCAACGAGATAATTTGTTCATGGAAAAGTAAGCTTTTTTTTGAAGTTTGCAAAACCGGAAACTATCAGCATTGAGAGGGGTTTAAAGTAAAGGTACGAAGTTTGGGACTATTTATTAACTCCTTTTATTAGAATTTAAGTTTATTTCCAGGAAGGTGTCATTAAATGAGGCTCTTTGCGGTTGTCAATTTTTGGTCAAGCACTTAGATGGTAGAGAGCTTTTAATAACTACTCGTCCTGGTGATATTCTGGAACCAGGTGACATTTATGAATTTACTTCGTTTTATTGATTTTAGAATGCATATTTGGGTTACTGTGTTACTATGCAAGTTGAGTTCTTTTATTTCAAAGATAAATTTTAAAAGTCTTATTATTTTAAATCCTTAAGTAAGATAAGGAAAATAATCAGCATGTCGTCAATAACATACATTTTTTGAGTATTTACACACCGTTGGTGGTGTAAGCTGCTGATTTCCATTATTATGAATATTCGAATTAATTAATCTCTCATCTTTCGATGAATGCTGCGAAAAAGCAGTCGTAATAAGTGTCAGAAAAGTAAATAGCTGAAGGAAAAAGACAAGAAGTATAAACAGTTACTAAATTTTGCGACAGATTGCATTCGTGGAATTCGTGGCGAGGGAATGCCTGTTCCGGATAATTCAGGAATGCGAGGAATTCTTTTTGTGAAGTTCAGCATAGTTTTTCCAGAGGACCACTTCTTTGCCGAAGAAGCAGATTACAAGGTAATGTTATCGTTTTTTGATGTTAATCTCGAGTATTCAGAATATTCTAGGTTCATTTGCAATCAAAGTTTATGTAACTAGCGATATTTTTATATAGGTTAAATATAAAGAGAACTGAATTTTTTAAACTGATTTTTCAAGTGATCTTCAAGTCTATGAGTAACTTGCGTTCCTGTAAATACAGCTTGCGCTGCAATGGATTCAGACGTTCGAACGTAACTTCTTCAAGAATCTCACTTTACTGTGTTTGCTTATATATATATATATATATATATATATATATATATATAT